GGCTATCTCATTTTCTGGAGGTCATCCATCTGGATGGCTGTAAGTTAAATATAACAGTTGAAATGGAGAAATGAAAGCTATAGGAAATAAAAATGAAAGGAATGTTTCTCTTTCTTCCTCCTTCAAGCATATGTTGTCATTTAAGGTGAAATAGATTTTAGGTACCCCAGTGCTTACCTTTTTATCTCTAATCTCTAATCCTTTAATCTTAACATTACAGCTCCACTCCAGAATGTAAATGGGGCTTGTTAGATTGCACATTTTGGTCAGTTAAAATATTTATGCGTATCATCTTTCTTCCTTAGACTATGAATTCATAAAAACAAGACTCATGTATCTCTATCTTACAACTCATTGATCTGTGAAACATAAGGTATAATACCAACTACTGGTTATATTCTGTCCTGTTTTGATAAGTAATTTCTACTTTGTGGAATTTACCTGATAAATGGTAGAACAGTTGTAAAATATCACCTTATTCAGGTTGATGGCAGCTCTACATTATAAAATCCCATGTGTTATATACATCCTTCTAAATGTAGAAAATTGAACTTGTTATTTTTGGGTACAAGATATCTATATTTATATCTAATCTTACACTTTATGTATAGCATAGAGTTAGGATAAGGATATTTTTGTCCACTGCTTCCTCGTTATAAATTGCCTGCTCATATCTTGCTTGTTTTAAATTGGAATTCCTGTAATTTTCTTACAGTTTGTAATAGCTCTTTAACCCTTTGGAATGTATTTGAGATTTTTTTCCCCCCTACACTTGATGTTTGCATTCAATTTTGCCTACAGAGTCTTTCAATGAGAAAAAATGTAAAGCTTTATGTAACAAAGTCTATTACTAATGCCCTACTTCTCTTTTTGTGTCATATTAATATGTCATTCTTGGCTATTTTTCTAAGCCGTATCACATTCCTTCCTACACTTATGCATCTGGGTTTTCTGTCTTTGCATTCCTATGCATTGACTACTTATGTTTCTTTATTTCCTTGTTAAGTGGCTGCATTTTCAATTTATTGCAGACTATGCCTTAAAATAATTTCCTACCACTTTACATATAATATAAGAACCTAACAAAAGTGTGATTTCATTTTCCCTCTTCTGTGCTTCATGCTATTATTGCCATGCATTTTATTTCTATGTATTTATAAACCCTACACTATAATGTATTTTTTTGCTTTGAACCATTATATTTTACCCAACATGTACTTTTAATTCTTAAGAATCTCAAAGAGAAAAGTTGCAAGGACAACTCAAAGAACTTTTTTCCCTGAATGATTTGAGAGTAAGTTGCTACTGTTATACCCTACCACCCCTAAATATTATTGGTGTATTTACTATAAACAAGGGTGTTCTCTTATAGTCAGCCATCAAAATCCCTAGACTGAATTCAGGTCTCTCCAGGTGTCCCAATAATGTCACAGTAATGCAAAGTGATCCGGTCCAGAATCACCCAGAACAACTGATCGTCATGGCTTCTTCAGTCTTGTAACTGGTCCTCAGTCTTCCTTTAATTTTCATTCCCTTGACAAGAAGATTAGACCAGGTTCATTGTAGAATATCTCTTAATCTGAGTTTGTTTTACGTTCCTCAAGAACAGATGCGGGTTCTGCACTTTGGTTAGAAATCCCGCAGACGTCACGCTGCACTCCCCTTCCTGCATCCTCTCAGGGCCACAGGATTTGGCTCTGCCCATGATTGGTGATGTTCACTGACTTGGTGGTGATCGCCTGATGAAGATGGTGTCTGCTAGGCTTCTCCACTATTCAGGTGCCCCCTTTGTAATGGGTGTGCATGTTGTGGGTAGGCACTTCACAATTACATGAGAATTCCCACTCCTCATCAAACTTTCAGCTTGTTTATATCAGCATGGGCTCAGAGTTTTCTGTTCTATTCAATGGGTTATAATCCATTACTATCACTATTTATTTTGGTGCTCAAATTGTTCCAGATTCAGACACGGGGAGTCCTCTCAAGTTGCCTTCTGTGTCCCTTTGACATGTAACTATCATCCTTTGAGCACTTCCTTATTTGATAGCAAAGCACAATGTCCCAGGCTCATCTTGTCCTTTCCCTGCTCCACCCCAGATAGGTCATTTCTCTAAGATTCTCTGAATCCTTTTTAATGGAGAATTGTACATAGAAACCAAGATTTGAACACTACCTGTGTTCATTGCCATTGGAGTGTCACTTCTCCTGTGCCTTCTCAGTAGATAGAACTAGAGACTTTAAGTAGGTACACACATGTACACATTTTAACCCATATCTACATACCTCTATATATTGAAAACATAAACTGTATCCTCTATTTCCTCACAAATTGGCTGATTCTGTTGTTCTTCTTGGTTTTAGTTTAGATTTGAGTTTTCATTTGAACTTTTTCCTTCAGCATGAAGAACCTCCTTTAACAATTCTTGAAGTACAGGTCTGTTGCTGCTTAATTTTCCCAATTATTATTTCTTTGAAAAAGTCTTTATTTTTACTCTATTTCTGAAAGATATCTTCACTAGATTTAGACTTCTAGGCTGACAGTTTTTTTTTTTTAATTTCATTCATTCCAGTTTAAAGACGTCATCCTCTTGTCTTCTGGATTGCCTTGTTTTAAATGAGAAATCAGTGGGATAATTTTTTTCTCCCTTTGTACGTACATGTCTTCTTTCATGTTGCTTTTAAGACTTTTCTTTTTATTACTGGATCTTCAGCAATTTGATTATGATGTGCCTTGCTGTAGTTTTCTTTATGTTTATCCTTCTTGCAATTCATTGAACTCCTGGATATACATGTTTATGTTTTTCAGCAAAGTTGTAAAGTTTTCAGCCATTAGTTCTTCAAATATTTTTCTGTCTCCTTCCTCTTTCTGGGACTACAATTACACATATATTAAACAACTTAATATTGTCCCGCAGGTCATTGAGTTCCTGTTCAATTTTTTAATCCTTTTTTTTCTTTCTGTGCTTCATTTTGAATAGTGCTTATTGCTATGCCTTGAAGTTCAGCACACTATATGTGCAACTGTCTTTAAAAAGCAATTAGCTTTTTGTCTAAATCATCTGTAAAGACAGCATTACTCACCAAAATTGGAAAAAGAAAAGGACACCAACAACTTGTGTAATAAGTGGCCTGCAATACACTGTTGAATTTTGGAAATAAGATGCACTTAGCATGGTTTAAAATTCTTACTAGCATTTTGTTAACCTCCTTTTTCTTTACCTTAAAAGGGAAAAAAAATGTATGTAGTCAATCCTGATTGGAAACATGTAAGAAAGAGACAGAGAGAGGAAGGGTGTAATAAACGATAACTTCTTCATAATGTTCAGCATGAAAATCATTAGTCATTAGTGGCCTTTTTGTGAGTTTTATAGTAGGGGTTTTTTGTTTTTATTGAATGCCTCCCTCCAAAACAAATAAACAGTGTTTATTTAGGGGGAAAAAAAGCAATGTCTAATCTGCTATTAAGGCCTTCCAGTAAATTTTTTCACTATAGATATTGTATTCATCTCTAGTTTTATTTGGTTCATTTAAAAAATTTCCATTTCTCTTTCATTTTTCTTTGAAATCCTTGAACATTTTAATAGCTGTTTTAAAGAACTGCTTACTAGTTCTATTATCCCTATAAGTTCTCTGTGTTTACATTTAAAATTTTTCTCTTGGTTATGTGTTATGTCAGATTTTCCTGCCTTTTTTTTTTTTTTTACAGATATAGTAACATTGTTGAATGCCTGATGTCATTGTCTTTGAGAAGTATTGAATTCGGTTTTTGTAGTTAACTTACTTGAAGATAAGCTTCACCTTTTCTCAGCTTATATTTAAGCTTTGTTAAGGAAAGATTAGAATAACTTTTACTGTAAGGTGAGTTCGTCCTTATTCCTATCACATGACCTTTCTGGGTCACTGAATGCCCCAAGTGTTCTATGACATGTCTCTATTCCGATTTGTCTCAACTTGTAAATTTCCCAGTCCTGTATGAACTGCAGTAGTTGTTCCACTGACAGATCCCTGGCAGATGTTTCGTCCTCTGTAATCATTTTTTGTTCAGCCTCACGGAGTGTTCCCTGTGCACACACGGCTTAGAATGCAGTCAAGGATGCAAGGATGCCTGTGCAGACTTCTCAAGCTCTCTTTTCTGTGTAACTCCCACTTTTTCAGTACTCTACCAATAAATTCCCACAACCCCAACATCCTTGAATCCCGTTCTCTGTCTCCTTGAGACTGCCTGCTACTCTGTCTCTCACAAGCAGTCAATAAATGCCTCCAGGCAGAAAGCCTGGGCTAGCGCAAGTCTCATCTGACTTATTTTTCTTCTTTTAGAGATCACAATATTGTGAGGACTGTTGTCCATCACGTAAAAGCAGTTGTTTCATGTAAGTTATCTATTTCTCTAGTTGTATATGGTTGGAAGGATAGTCTGGTACCATAACCTCGCCATGGCTGGAAGTAGAAGACTGTTGTTGGTTTTCTGAACCTGAAGAGTACTGAACTTCAGTGGCTCAAACAGTGCCTGACTATCCTTCCATGGGTCTCTTCCTTCCATTTCTTTCAGAGGCTGTTTAAGCTCTTGTGCATGGACTAAATGTTTGTGTCCTCCCCTCCCTATTCCTATGTTGAAGCCCTAACTTCCAATGTGACTGTATTTGGAGATAGGGCCTGGGAAAGATGATAAGGGTTAAATGAGGTCGTAAGGATGGGGTCCTAATCCAATAGGGTGGTGGCCTGTATAAGAAGAGGTAGAGACACCAGAGCACTCCCTGTGTAGTGTGAGCACACAGCAAGAGGGCAGTCATCTGAAAGCCAGGAGAGAGCCGTCATCAGGAACCAGACTGGCCAGAATCTCCATGTTAGGTTTCTAACCCTCCAGAGCTGTAAAGAATACACTTCTGTTGCTTAAGCCACTGAGTCTGTGGTATCCCCCACTTCACTGCCCTTTCCCTTCACTTTCCATCCTTCCTCACTCAGAAAATATGTGCCATCAGGTAGGAACCCCTTCAACTCACCTCTTGACTCCTTTCCTCGGTCCTCTTTTCCTTATTTTTGTACCTTCTTTTCAAGTGTACCATCCATACGCATCTCTGCTTCCTTTTCTCTTCTAAGGGCATTTTGCCTGTATAATGCAGAGTATTTATATCAGATGCTTTTCTTTCGTTTCTGCCATAGGTACTGATGCAAGCTATTTTCAGGCCATTATTAATATCAGTTTGAGTCAATGAGGAGTAGTTGACAGAAAGCTGTGTAACTTATTTCAAATACAAGACAGTTTATCAACACAGTTTTGTTGCCTGTTAGTCGAGGCACTCAATGGTGTACACATACTAAATCATCCCTGAATGTCTGGGAGTATGTCTTATTCATGTTATATTTCCTGATTTATAAGTATATAAAATATTTAAAAAATATCAAGTGGATGAATATGTCATTTAAGAAATTATCTTATGTTGCTCCAATTTAAGGTTAAGAAAGATGTACAGATCTAGAATAAAAAAAAATCAAAATTTTCCTAAGGCCATTTCTTTTGCTTGTGAAAATCAAATCACAAAACCATTTGATTAATAGACGTAAGAGGTAAGTTTTCAGTAACTATAAAAACATTCTAGTGCTGGCTGAAATAGAAGAGAAAAGGGATAAGGTTTTGAAAGATCTTTAGGCCTCATTTTTTTCCCCAGGAACACAGTTCCTTTCTATTTATGGGCTCTATATAGATGAGTTAAGGAGAGCATAAAAACATTTAAGCCCATAGTCTCCAAAGCTGACTGGCTACAAACATTTCAATGTGCTTCAAAGTAGGGATTTACCCACAACATTCTGGGTCTAGTAATTCTCTAAGGTATCAGCTAATACTGGCTTCACCTACCAGTATAAGAAAACATGACTGATGATGGGGCTTAAAGAAATAAGGGCTTTTTTTATTCCCCCTATAACACAAAGTCCAGAGGAAGGCAATCCAGGGCTGGGCCTCCATAATGCCAATTAAAACAGAATTTTTCTGTCTTTTCACCTCACAGTCCTTAGCATCCTTTTTTTTTTTTAAATTAAAGTATAGTCAGTTTACAATGTGTCAATTTCTGGTGTACAGCATAACATTTCAATCATACATATGCATCTTTATATTCATTTTCCTCTTGCTTATTGTCTCATGGTTGCAATATGGCTCCCTCTCTTCCAGCCTAATATTCACTCACCAGGCCAGAAGGGGGAAAACCACAGTGGCAGAAGGCTAAAGGTTGTCTATCCTTGTTTATTAGGAAAGCCAAAGTTTTCCCAAGACCCCGCAGGCAAGACTTTCAGTGACGTGCTTTAAGCTAGAACTCTGTCACTAGGCCATGTCTCACTGCATGACTGCTATGGGCAGGAGGAGACTTTTTTTTTCCTTTCAGTTTTACTGAGATTTAATTGACACGCAGCCTTGTATAAGTTTAAGATGTGTAGCATAATTATTCGACTTAGATACATCATGAAATGATTACCACAGTGAGTTTAGTAAACATCCATCATCTCATGTAGATATAAAATTAAAGAAAGAAAAAAAGTTTTCCTTGTGATGAGAACTCCTAGGAGTTATTCTTTTAAACAACTTTCACATGTAACACACGGCAGTGTTAATTATATGTATCATGTTGTACATTACATCTTATAACTGCAAGTTTGTACCTTTTCCTTGCCCTAATCCACTTCCCCTTTCCTCACGCTCTGCATCTGATAACCACAAATCTGATCTCTTTTTCTATCAGTTTGTTTTTGAAGTATAACTGACCTACAACATAATATGTTAGTTCCTAATATATAACATAACTCAACAAGATCACCATGATAAGTCTAGTTACAATATGTGACCATATAAAGGTACTGTATAGTTATTGACTATATTCCCCTATTCCCCACACTGTACATTTCATACTCATGACTCATTTATTTTGCAACTGGAAACTTGTACCTCTTAATCTCCCTCACCTATTTTTTTCCTGCTCCTCCTCTCCTCCCCTCTGGCAACCACCCCTTGTTCTCATTTTAATTTTTTGAGGAACTGCCATACTATTTTCCACAGTGGCTGCACCAATTTACACTCCCAGCAGTGCACAAGAGTTCCCTTTCTCCATATCCTTGCCATCCCTCGTTATTTGTTGTCTTTTTGATAATAGCCATTCTGACAGGTGGTGTCATTGCGGTTTTGATTACCATTTCCCTGATGGTTAGTGACGCTGAGCATCTTTTCATGTATCTATTGGCTATCTGTATGCCTTCTTTGGGAAAATGTTTATAGGTCCTCTGCCCATTTTTTAATCAAGTTGTTTGTTTTCTTGATGTTGAGTTGTATGAATTCTTTGTATATTTTGGAATATTAACCCCTCATAGGATCTATCTTTTGTGGATACCTTTTCCCATTCAGGAGGTGGCCTTTTCATTTTGTTGACTGTTTCCTTTGCTGTGAAAAAGCTTTTTAGTTGGATATAGTCCCATTTGTTTGTTTTTGTTTTTGTTTCCCTTGCCTGAGGAGACATAGCCAAAAATTACAAAGTCCGAGGTCAGAAGACTTATTGCCTATGATTTCTTCTAGAAGTTTTATGGCTTCAGGTCTTACATTTAAGTGTTTAATCCATTTTGAATTTATTTTTGTGCTTGGTATGAGAAAGTAGTTCAGTTTGATCCTTTTGCATGAGCTGTCCAGTTTTCCCAACATCATTTATTTATTTAGTTATTTTATTTATTTTTTAAGAGATTGTATTTTATTTATTTTTCAGAAGATGAAGGTTGACAAGAGGATGAAGTTCCTTTTTTATAGGATAATCTCAGATTTTTAAATAATTTTTTGGGGGGAGTAATTAAGTTAATTTTTATTTATTTATTTACTTTTTTTTTAAATGGAGGTACTGGGGATTGAACCTAGGGTCTCATGCATGCTAAGCACCCACTCTACCACTGAGCTATACCCCCCAACACCATTTATTGAAGAGGCTGTCTTTTCCTCATTGTATTTTCTTGCCTCCTTTGTTGTAGATTAATTGCTCATATAAATGTGGGTTCATTTCTTGGCTCTCTATTCTGTTCCATTGATCTACGTGTCTGTTTTTGTGCCAGTACCATACTATTTGTTTAATTTGAAAATGTTTTATTACATCAAGTATAGTTTATTTGTAGCTGTAATAAAGCAACTTAAGTAATGATTTTTTAAATTTATTGAAGTACAGTTGATTTACAATGTTTCAGGAGTACTGCAAAGTGATTCAGTTATATATACATATATATATTCTTTTTCAGATTCTTTCCCATTACAGGTTAGTGCAGGATATTGAATATAGTTCCCTGTGCAACACAGTAAGCCCTTGTTGTTTATTTATTTTGTATTGAGTAGTGTGTATCTGTTAATCCCAAATTCCTAATTGATCTCATCCCTTTTTCCTCTTTGGCAACTGTAAGTTTGTTTTCTATGTCTGTTAATCTCTTTCTGTTTTATAAATAAGTATGTTTGTATTATTATTTAAGATTCCACATATAAGTGATATTGTATGATATTTGTTTTTGTCTGATGTACTTCACTTAGTATGATAATCTCTAGATCCATCCATGTTTCTACAAGTGGCATTATTTCATTCTTTTTTATGGCTGAGCAATATTCCATTGTATATATATACACCACATCTTCTTTATCTAGTCATCTATCAATGGATATTTAGGTTGCTTCCATGTCTTGGCTGTTGTAAATAGTGCTTCTATGAACATTGGGGTGTTTCAAGTATCTTTTCGAATTAAGAGTTTTCATCTTTTCTGGATATATGCCCAGGAGTGGGATTGCGGGATCATATGTTAACTCTATTTTTAGTTTTTTAAGGAACTTCCATACTGTTCTCCATAGTGGCTGCACCAATTTCCATTCCCACCAACAGTATAGGAAGGTTCCCTTTTAGGAGGGGACTTTGAGTGGGGTTTGGGTGAAATAAGCAGGCAGTCAGCCTCACTGAAGGTGGATTTGAACTGCCAGTCATCAGTCAATATTTAAAAAGGCATTCATCCTTGCCAGAAAAAAAAGTATTGGTTTCAGTAAAAAGCAAAACAACATCTACAACAGATAAGAAGCAAGAAGGTCTTTAAGAAGTCAATACATAGTTGCTGCAAAGGAACTCTGGTTTAATGCTCTTCCATCTTCCAGTTCAGAGAAATAAAAAATGCCAACTAATAAAGAACCACAGAACCCAGAGCCAACATACTATCTCATAATGTGATCCAGGGCCTAACAGAAACTTGTACACGGAAACTTCAATGTTATGATGAGCTATGAATTTGCATACTTTGCCATAAGAAGTCTTTCAGTTTGATAACATAGCGATGAAAAGTCCAGGCACAGCGCTCAGGAGAACTGGGTTCATATCTTGCCTCAGCTACTCATTCGGAGTGTAATCTTGGGCAGTTTCAACCCTCTTGGCCCTTGATTTTTAAAACTTCCTCATTCTCATCTCCCCAACCAAACTCTAAACTTACAGAGCAGAATTTATGTTGGATTAATTGAAGTTTAGATTCATTTTGATATGATTTTGGGAAAATTTCGTATCAGAATATGGGAAACAGGTAGAATTACTGGGGATGTTGATCAGGACAATGAAAATCAATGTGAGTTCTTGCATTTTAAATATTACTTTCTAATATCATGTCATGGGTTATGATCAGGCTTCCTGTCCCTCCTTCTACCCCAATTCCCACCCCCGCTTCTGTGTGGAGTGATATTGAGCACTTTGGGGATCAGATTTACAGAGTCTGCCAGAGTGCTCAAACCACAGCATGATCTAGAAAAGAACATAAGGATTTCTGTGCTATGCTTTTACCTTTTTCAGGAGGTACAACTGAGAATCTGAGAAATTAAATGACATCTGCAAAGTCAGAACTACAAAACTAAGAACAGAATCTGCTTTTCCTGACTCCTCAGCTAAAATTATAGCCTCTATATCATTCTAGTTTTCCCTCTTGGAGAATTCTAAAGAAATGGATTATAACATAAATGTATATAAAATGATCATTTATAATACATACACATATTGAAACAAAAAACAATAGTTAAGAACCATTATACATCTATTTAGTTGTACTACCCTTAAAAAATACAAGAGTAACTTTGAAAAATTACTAAATCTTGATGTGACACTAAAGCAGA